CCTGCAATTTCATACATGGGGACTGGCTAAGAGGTTTGGAGTGGAAGAATCTGGCCGGCTTTTTGAACCTTTTTCGACAGTCGGGGCCCATCTACATAATTGTGTAGGCACCCTACGGTTTCAATCACGTCTACAATTTGGTCAGAAGAAGAATGCATGGATGCATGGCATGCCTTGGAGCCTCGCTTGGTCTGCTCATCTTGCCCCGTTCCCATGAATCTGATTTTATTTAGAAAAATCACTCTAAATGAAACCAGGGGGATGACATGGCGCGAAAGGTCGTCAAACCTGCCAAATCGTCCGGATTGTCAAAATGATGAATTTTTGTTATTGGCTGCCCACATTAAGGCACTTAGCAAAAAGCAGCAAAACTTCCATAATCCGGACGAGTTATCCGTCTGAAGATAATCTGTCATGACAGGACAATGTTAATGTGCTCGCCCTATACGAGGTACGGATTGGTAATGACAAGATCTATTAAACATTGGTCTAAGGCATTCCACTCAGGACCTACAAGTGTGTTACGGTAACAGAGTAACTAGTTCATGTGCATATACGTGGGTGTAGAATCAATTTTCGGCTTATTATCGCATACTAATTACACACTCCAATTACTCACAGCTTACTCAATGCATTGCGGCAAAACAAGCTTTCACAAATCGATTATGGCCATTAAGCGGCTGAGCTGTTTCGTCAGCTTTTTCCCTTTTTGTGCGTATGGATGCTATTCTTAGAGGGGGTCCAGGTGATTTTTTTCTGTGGGGGAAAATCGGCAAATAAGCAAATTCATCACCTTGACAACGTGACGGAGTCAGCTCAAACATCGTCATTAGTCTGTAAGTGACGGAAATGCCATGTGTTGCCTGATTTCCTATGAAGCACTAAGTAGCCGAATTGAAGCCAAAAAAGGTCGGTGTAAACAGGGTGATTTTCTCCGTTAGAAAATGGGGACAAGGTGGTGTAGCGGCAGGCGAGACCCGCAGGAACTGAAAATCAAACCCCGGATCGGATCCCATCCAAGCCAACAAGCCTCCTATTTCTGGGGTGTGTGTAAGGGTGGCAGACCGTCTGAGAGATAGAAGCAACTAAACGACACCTAGCACGGTTGTCACTGCAAGAATCGTGTAGCAGATTTAGTCTATTCGGGGCCTAATACGGGCCCCAGGCGGTTCCTCAAAAGCTGTCTGCGGATCGGTCCCATACAGCATTACCCTTTTTCCGTGAAAGTTCATTTCAAACTGCAAGTCCTTCAGGGGGGGGGCAAACTGCATTCAAAGCACTTCGATTCCGAATGAAAGTCGAATATGTGGCACACCTCGGGTTCGATGAGCGCCAGATGCTTTATGACCTCATGGCTAAACATTCACGGAAGTAAAACTGGTTAGATGACCCATAGAGTCGTCATCATTGAAGTTAGTCGGTGCGTGTCAGCGGAACACTGGCCTTGGCGCGGCGCCAGCCCGTTTTCCATCGGTCATTGTAGCTTCAGCGAGTGGTGAGAAAGGTGTTGGCACCGCGCCCAAACCCACGCCTCGCTGACATGCCCCTTCCGCAGGCGACCGTGACAAGGACTTTTGCCAGTTGCTCTGGGTTAGGTGGATGTGGCGCAGTTGTCAAAAGTGCTGCAGAGCAGTCGCACCTCAAGACTTTTCGCGTTTCGGCCTAACTGGCCAAGGTTCCCTGAACTCAGCGCTTTCGTGATACAAGTATAGAAAAGTCCAATCCTTTCAAACCACCAGAAGGCATGGTTCAGAGCCAGTACACATTCGAAAATGTCTACAATTCCAAAAGGAAATCACTTCCGTGGCGCTTCCCAAGCGAAATGGTCAATGCCAGGCGCTTCATATTTTTTTTGCCAGTTCATGGAAGCAGTTAATTGAGCGTTCGCACGAGCGCGTCTAATTAGCTGCAATTATTTGGGCCTATTGAAACCCTTCCAGGCAGAGCTTTACATGGAAATGTGCCCATCCTCATTTGACTTGCCCTCATACCATTTTACCAGTCTGAGGTCCCAGGAGGTCATTACTATAATTGCGAGCCAGCCTTGGCCAAGCAAAGGAGGGTGTTTTGTTCCTTTGTCGAACCCTTGAACTTCATTTTCCGTGCCATACGTCGCCCATCGTGCAAACTCAGGTCAATATTGAAGTGCTGACGTCAAACGCCAAAATGGCATTCCGGGGCGGAGTTTGTTCCAAATTTGGGCAAAGTTTTGCGTGGTTTGCAGAAAAACGAAGGCATTAATGCAAATTTGCTGTCGTCGTCACGGTGGTGCACTCGCAATGCACCCACGTTTTGGCAATTTGCCAAATGAGACCCGACAACGAATTGTTAAAAAGTAGGTGTCTAGCCGTAAAATGACGTGTTTGTCAGCGTGGGAGGGGCAGATAATTCGATTCAGTTGATGTCGCGGCAAATAATGTCTTGTTAACATAATTGGCTAGGAACTCAATGTTCATGGGGCCTATTAAAACCAGAAATTCCGTCTGCTCTCGTTTTTTCCCGTTCTTACCCCAAACAAATTATTTCCCTCTTTTCTTGGGAGCCCATTCTCCTCGACAAGGATGACATCATCCAATGCTTATTAATTCTTGATGAATCGGAATGAATAATGTTAGAGACAATTGATTGAAAGCCTGAAAAAACTCTAGGATTGGTCCTCTGGAATTCCTCATAAATCAGTGAATAGAATGAGATATCTGGGAGAATGAAGGTAAATGTTGGCAGATTTGCGGCAAAAACTAGACGGAGAAGTAAGCAATCGCACAGCCGCGCTGCGACCGCGCACGTCCTGGCCCGCGAGACTTATTGAGAACACACAGAGGATTCATAAATAAGCAAAACGTCCACAAACGTTCACGTTCAAATTCCAAGTTGTTTGGTAGAAGGAGGTTCCACAGAGCAAGAACAGAAGTCATGCAGCTAGGATTAAGAAAGAATGAAAACAAGGAGCACAGCTGGTGTCATAAACCGCTCTGCGTACGCTCGCGTCAAAGATATGCAAGTCAAAAACTGTTGATTATGAGAACAGAACTGAATACTCATAGAATTATGGAAAAAAATCTCGTGAAAGATTTTGGATAGACCCCCATATCCGCTGACCAACTCGAGGCGGATCTCAGGCATCCAAATTGTAAATCTGCTACCACAAAATAGTATTAAAAAGGGAAAATATACGTCAGAAAGCCAACAGACGAAAAGCTAAAGAAGGTAAGAAATTTCAGTGACCGCGTCGCGACAGCGCGCGTCGCTGGCCGGCACTCACATCACCCTCTGCAGAGGCACGAAACAGGCGAGCTGCTCCGGTCACGTGGCCTTTTTCATATGTTGCGGCTAGATACTCCATTTTGAGAAAGAAACGCGTTAAGCTCCCTTCGAAACTGCATCTTTTGGGAAGAAAAACCAACGCCCAACCTTTAACGACCCTCAACGGGCGCTTGGGTAGTGTCTTGGGAAATGCTTTGATTTGGGGACGCTGGAGGAACTCGAAGGCTCACCTAGGCCTTTCCAAACCAGCCCTCGAAAATTTTGGTTTATTGCCCTTCCCCTTCCCCCTCCACTTCTCTGTTTTGCAGGAATCTTGCAGTTTCTGCTCTGCGTGGGCCTTGCAGGGAACTCTCCAAGGATGATATTTGACCCTGCTTCCCGCTTTGACGCCTACATTCCTGCAGCCAACCGTTTTTTGCTGATAGAACGTCACAGCTGTTCCGGTTTCGTCTTTCCGGGTACTAAACAGTGGGCGATCATTTACCAGGAAGAAGTGGGAGGTGAAAGGAGGTTCATTAGAGCGTTTTCCCTGGACAGATTTTTTGCCAGTATTCCAGTAAGGGGGGGGACATTTTTGTGTAACAGTTCGCGCAGACTACGGTAGTACCCATTTTGCACAATGAGTTTCCAATTCATGAAAAAGGGACCATTGGGAGCCATTGGGTGAGGATTTTCCCATAAGCCTCGGGTGCAGGAGTTCCCAGGTGATTGAACCGCTTCGGTGCAGTTCGCTTTGGTAGGTGCATTTTGCTGGTTGGTTTCCATCGATCACTGGCT